CAGGAATCAAGCTCCTGCTTCTTCGAAGGGGCATCGTTATGGCAAGGCTGCACCTCGGACAACCTGTCTGCAACAGAAACCAAGAGTGAGGTCTGCAGGAAGCACTGTTTCCATGAGTTTACCTGAAATCGTGAAGAACGAGAGGAGGGAAAGGTAACAGCAACACAAATGGTTTATTTTGGAACAACTCTGCTGCCTCCTAGGCAGGGGATGCTCATAAAGCTCTTTGTGGTTCTGTTGGAGGGGGGTAGGGAAGCAACCAAGGCAGAAGGACGAGGTTACTTACTTGTGAATGCCAAGATTAAAGCCAGGTAGTAGCGCTGTACCAAAAAGGAGCAACGAATCGTAGAATCACAGAGGATCTCAAGTCGGAAAAGACCCGTAAGGATCATCAGTCCGACTCCCTGCGCCTGGCAGGGCCACCCAACGCTCAACCATGTCCAGGCGTTCCTTAAGTCAGTCTCGGTGCCCTGACCACTTCCCTTGGAGCCTGTTCCCGAGCCTGTTCCCGAGCCTGACCGCCCTCCCGGCGAACAAGCGGGTGCACGCAGTAAGTTTAACCTTTAAGAAAACCTTTGTGTTCCAGACATGGACGGAGATCTTCAGCCCAGTGTTTTTGTGAGCAAGAATCAACGCAGATTTTTGTCATCGCTCAATCCCCAGGACTCACCCAGGCAGGACTATGTTCCAGGCCAGGTTGGATGAGGCTTTGAGCAACCTGGTGTATTGGAAGGTGTCCCTGCCCATGGCAGGGGGGTTGGAACTGGATGATCTTTGAGGTCCCTTCCAACCCAAACCATTTTGGGATTCTGTGACTCTCTCATCACACCTGACAGTGACAGAAGAAACACCAAGGCAAACTCCTCCTGCTGCCACTGGGAAAACTCGTTTTGCTTTTATTTCCATTATAAGCCTGTACTAGGAACAAAAGCCACCACTATCACCTACACAGTTTAGGTGTTATCTAAAGATTTGACACAGAAACCTGTGAAACCGCGCGAGAGGGAAGAACAAACAGACCAAGGTTTCTTCAAACGTGTTTAACTTGAATAGAGACAGTGGAGTCCTTGTTAAAAGCTGGATTTAGGTGTCCCTGATGTGTGCTGGGACAACTGCACCCTCAGCAGCCCCAGGGAATACACCCAATTCTTATGGGCAATATCCTCACTAATCATCACGTGAGCCCCATTTTGTCCCTCCTCATCCACAGTAACTCCTGCTGTTCTTGTCCTGACCCTGCCCTGAGCATCACTTTGTCTCCACTGGAAAAAAAAAAAAAAATTATTTCATATTAAGTGGACAAATCCCAAACTTACTTTCACGAAGAATTAAAATCTACTTTCTCTACATGCAGAAGAGACCAGGGCTAGTCAGTCTGCTGAGACTATTCAGTTTGCTCACTGACCACAGGCTTGTTATTTTTGTCGCTCTCCTTCAACTGCTTGCATGTCATTTGCATTGTTTAAAGTCAAAACAAGATCACCTCAACTTGCAGCTACAGTACTTCTCATTTCATACATCACCAGTCATGCTGGAATCACAACTTTGCATGTTATTTTGTCAATGTGCAAGAAGCAGAAGAGAAACCAGCTTACTCTTCCGAAATTCCATTGGCTCCGCAGTGCTGACAGCAGGAAAAACCATCAGTCAAGTTAACTGATATGACTCAGGACCAACAGAATTCCTGTTTCAGACTCATTTCTGACCACGTAGCCACACCAGCCCCAGGGGTGCCAACCTGGGCGATGCTGTTCGGGAGCAGTGCACCTCCACTACCCATAAACTCGCCCATTTCTGGCACGTATCCCTGCCCTGGCTCACCACGGTTGGCATCAGCGCCACCTGCACAGCACCACTCCCTCTTGCAAAGACCCTCAGCTTCTCAGGTGTTTTGTTTAGTAGAAATTTACTTATTCACTTTTTTTTTTTGCCTTTCCCCCACCTTCCCAACTCTTGTCCTGGTTAGTTCTGTAGTGCCTGACGACAATCTTTATTCAGATTACACAAGATCTACTTACACCAGCACAGTATGTGCCCATCCAGTTGCCCTAGGACCTGGTGCTGGTCGCAGAAGAGGCTGAGAACAAGGTTTTCCCCCGGAATGTTGGACACACCAC